TCAGCAGAAGAAAGAAAAGAGAAATAGAAGGGTGCTATATTGAACATTTGTCATGTATTAGATTCTGAAAGTAGAAAGATAAACTTTCTGCTGTGCTCAGGGAAGTAGAACCAGAGCAATTGCATTGCATTGCATCACAGTGACATGTCATCAGAGAAAGTTAGGTGGAAGCCGCATGTCTGTGGACTGGGGACAAATGGACTTTAATGTTCACTCCCTGGCTGTGCCCTGGGTAGGGACAAAACTTTCTTTCCTGTGTCTTAGTTCTCCCATAAGGGACAGCTTAAGCACAAGTTGTGTTATGGAGTTGCTGCTGCACACAGTTGAGTGTCTGGGTCCACTGATACCACAGTTTGGCAGAAAAACTGTTAGAGCTTCTGGGCTCTGCAGTTAGGGCTCATGTGAGCTCAGCAGCCTAAACCTGACTCCACCCCCTTTACTTTCCTATTTGATATGAGATAGCTGGTTGAGTTTAAGGTTTTTGATACACTCAGCTTTGTCCTCAAGCATCTATTAACCCTGAAGGGATGGCACAAGAAAATCACCTAAATGTGCTTGGGAGCCCAAGTCTTCAGGGTCTCTAAAGGGATTTTTTTTTTAATTGTGAGTGCACGACATCAATATGACTCTGCAGCTCATGTGTAAGTCCTTGATCTTTGCCATGCATTTGTTGAGTGGAGTGGGCAATGAAGTTTGTTGACTGGGTTTATGAGTAAAAAAAGGAAGAGTTTAGGCTTCTGAGAGGAATTCCTTGCTCCAGAATCCCTAGGTTATCATTTTAGGAGAGATGCCCTGGCCAGCTGGATTGCAAAACTTCTAAAATTATTGCCTTCTGAAATCCGGGCCAGTCTTGGTAATTTGAAGCTAGTGATATATGGTCAGTTTTCCCAGATCTTTAAATTGAATTCATGCTCCATTGCCCTGTAAGAATTGGGCCATAGCACTTTGTCTTGAGTCTAGGGAGAGAAAGAGATTTAAGACCTAGAATCACTGAGAAAATTATACATTTGTTGAATAGACTGTTACAGGCTGCTATTTTTCAGGTTTTGTTGTGGTTTGAAAGCTTGTTCAGACATAATTCTTGTCATAAGGGGTCACGACCTTATAAAGTAGAAAGGGTATCAGGTTTCTTTGTTTACCTGGCTTCCTTCTTTCCTGCTCCTGTGGGAATATTCATTGGTTGATTGTCATTGTACTGCTAATTTGTGCCCTAGTACATGAAAAAGGAATTGGGAACCTGGGTTTTACTCCCACTCTACCACTGACTGATGGTGCTACTCAACAGGAATTTGAGTGTTCCTTACATAGCAGTTTATACATTTACAAGATTGGTATAACAATTTTTGTTCCAAGTAACCTGATAAGTCAGTTTTATGTATCAAGTAAGAGAAATAGACATCATAGCACTTTGACAAATGACAAATGTTCCTTTTTGTGGTAGAGTATTGTTCAGGCTGGTGTGATATTGGCCCAAGGTGCCAACCTTCATTCTGAATAATGGCCCCTGGGGCTTCTGTGTAAATACAAATCGCATACTGAGCCTACCTTTAGAGAGTGTGAAGGCCTGGAACCTGGGGACTGCATTAAGAAGCACTTTAAGTCTGATGTAGATTCAGGGAGCTCACCAAGAACCATTGGTATCTGTGCAAGATATTGGGAGCCCACAGCAGGTGCCTGTTTCCCTGGTGATTCAGTATCTCTCATCCTGAGGTTTTTGCCTAGGTTTCATGGCTCTCAATTTTTTACTTTCTTGTTTACTGTTTTATTTCAGTTTTACTTACATTTTGTGTTCAGTGCAAATTGATTCTATAATATGAGAAGTTGCTTTGAATAAAAGTACAAACACACACACACGCACACAATCCCAAATAAATGTGCAGTATTTCTGTATGAAGTAGAGGAGTGCTGATTCATACACATAGTGCCTTCAAATCTGTTCAATCTGGCTGTTCCCATGTTGGTTTCTAAAGATGATTTTTTTTTTAATTTTTTTTTTAAAGATTTATTTTTATTATTTTTTCATTGGAAAGGCGGATATACAGAGAGGAGAGACAGAGAGGAAGATCTTCCACCCGATGATTCACTCCCCAAGTGAGCGCAACGGGTCGATGCTATGCCGATCCGAAGCCAGGAGCCTCTTCAGGGTCTCCCACGTGGGTGCAGGTTCCCAAAGCTTTGGGCTGTCCTCGACTGCTTTCCCAGGCCACAGGCAGGGAGCTGGAAGGGAAGCGGGGCTGCCGGGATTAGAACCGGCGCCCATATGGGATCCTGGGCGTGCAAGGCGAGGACCTTTAACCACTTGCGCCACCGCGCCGGGCCCAAGATGATTTCTTTTTTAAAATGATCTTAATTATTGGGCCCAGCGCAATATCATAGTGCTTAAAAGTCCTCGCCTTGCACACCCAGGATCCCATATGGTCGCTGGTTCTAATCCCAGCGGCCCCACTTCCCATCCAGCTTCCTGCTTGTGGCCTGGGAAAGCAGTTGAGGATGGCCCAAATCCTTGGGACCCTGCACCTGCATGGGAGACCCGAAAGAAGCTCCTGGCTCCTGGTTTCGGATTGGCTCAGCTCCAGGGGTTGCGGTCACTTGGGGAGTGAACCATTGGATGGAAGATCTTCTTCTCTGTCTCTTGTCCTCTCTGTATATCTGACTTTCCAATAAAAATAAATAAATCTTTAAAAAAATAAAAATGATCTTAATTATCAAGACTCTTATGACCATGATTAGATATTGGAAACACTGATCATTAATGTGTGCCGTGTGGAAAAAAAAAGATTTCAGAGTCTGGTTTTTGAAAATGTTTCTGTGTATCAAGAGTGTTAAAGATTCACTGCAGGCTGAACTGTAGGCTTATAATGATCAGATTCTAACTTTAAAAATAGTGACTGATAAGAGGTGTTCCAGATGTGAATATCCTGATCCATTGCTGAGTTTATTTTAAAGTATTTACATAAAGAATATAGAAGTTAGGGCCTGGCATGGTAGCCTAGTGGCTAAAGTCCTCGCCTTGAATGCATCAGGATCCTGTATGGGTTCCGGTTCTAATCCTGGTGGCCCTGCTTCCCATCCAACTCCCTGCTGTGTCCTGGGAAAAAAGAAATTGAGGATGGCCCAAAGCCTTGGGACCCTGCATCTGCATGGGAAACCTGGAAGAAGCTCCTGGCTTCGGAGCTCCTGGCTTCGGATAGGCTCAGCCCCAGCCATTGTGGCTGCCTGGAGAGTGAGCCATCAGATGGATGATCTTCCTCCCTGTCTTTTCTCCTCTCTGTATATCTGCCTTTCCAATAAAAATAAATAAAATCTTTTAAAATATATGTAAAAGTTTTTGTGAATTTAATGCAAGGTAGCATCCAGTCTTCACTTGCCAAAACTTGATTTATAGTTTTGGCTCTTTAATGTGTTTGCCTTGTTATTTTTAATTTCAAAATTTCTCATTTAACTTTCAAAACAGACCATTTTTTGAGTTGCAAAAAGTATTGAACATAGGCAGAAAAAAAAAAGCAGCATTTTGAAATTGGTTAATGCAGTTCTATTCTGAATCATTGAGCGATAGCTCATGATGGATGTTTTCCCTGAACTGTAATAATTCAGAGTGTAAAAAATGCAATCTTGACATCTTGAGATTTGATTATTGTTTACAGCCCTGACTGTACTCCTGAAAGCTACATTGGTGTTGTTTTCTACTTACTTTGTGTTGAAGTCTTTACCTAATTGAGTATTAAACTTGTTATTACAAAGTGAAATGAAAATATGCCATTGTAAGAGTTATAGGGGAGAAAGGGGGGATGGGGAAGGAAGAGAGTTGGTATGGAATATGGGCGAAAGAAGGAAAGTGGGATGGGAGAGGTTATTTCTATGCTCTTAGGTCTGTATAGTGAAATTTGTTCACTCTATATATAAGTAAAAAAAAAGAGAAAAGTCCATGACCTTGGAGCAATGTGGTCATAGCTCTGTCTGTTAAATACCAGTAAAAGTATCAATTTGCTATATATATATAGCAGTAATATATATACACACACACAATATTTGTATAAATAATGGGAATTACCTACCATTTGACTTTATGAGAATAAGCAAGATTACTCAAGGTTTGATATTTGGGGATAGATTGCAATCTATCATTGCCCTGGTGCAAATCAAGTACTACTTAAAAGTCAAATGCAATGTCAGCTACAAACCCTCAGAAGAAGAGTTCAGCTAAGGGAATAGTGATAACAATGTGGAACTTTAGAGTAAGTGTTGAAGTAGTGCTGCTAAAACAACACCCTAAGGACCTACAACACCTGGAATTTCTTCTGTTCATCTGAATAGAATCATGGAAGCTTTTTGTATTACCTAATTTGAGCATTATACATTTAGTGAACCTGATGAAAGTGACTCTCCATTCAGCATTCCACCTTTTTTTTTTCTAGATAAGACCAAATCTATTCCTATTTTTGTGGTAGAGTTTAAAGTATTCACAAATTTCTTAAATCACATTTAAGGAAATTACACTTAATTTTGGATGATGCCTCTTCATCTTGAACATAAAATTCTAGCAGATTTAATGTTGGCATTCATAATCTGGAAAAAACTTCACATGTTTTTCAAACCCATCAATTTGGGATTCTTAGCATTCTCTGTTTCAACAAAACAAGATGTGGAATTAGTACACTCAAAGAAGACCTGCTTTTCTCTTTGCCACACTGTACTTCTAGTTACCATTTGGATTGGCTTTAGAAGACGGGAAAGCATGCGTGGTGTACACTGGTCGAACTGAAGGAAGTTGAAAATTTCCAGGTTGAGTTCCTTGACACTGCTACCAGTTGTTTGGTTTGCATATGTCTGCATCAGTAGGAGCAGAGCCAGAAGCAGCAGCCCTAGTTGAAGCCTAGTCACCGTTGATTGCTCTGCCCTTGTCTGTTCCTTAGGGACTTAGTGGCAATAGCTGAAAATCAAGATGCTGCAGGTAGATGAGCTGGAGCATAAGCAACCTTGTATTTTCTGTTTCTTTACAGTAATGCAGAATCTTCAGAGAAGAGATTCAGAATGAACAGCTTTGTGTCAGACTTTGGAAGACCCTTGGAGCCAGATAAGGTGTTTTCTCGCCAATGCAATGAGGAATCCAGGTCTCTCTTTCACTGCTACATCAATGAAATAGAGCATTTGGACAGGGCCAAAATTTGTCACCAGACCACAGCCCTGGACAGTGATGTCCAGCTCCAGGAAGCCATCAGGAGCAGTGGGCACCCAGAAGAAGAGCTTAACAGGCTCATGAAGTTTGACATTCCCAACTTTGTGAACACGGATCAGAACTCATCCTTTGGGGAGGATGACCTCCTGATTTCTGAACCACCTATTGTTCTAGAAAATAAGCCAGTTTCCCAGACCTCACACAAAGGTCTAGATTGAGAAACAGGCTTTGTGAGGTGTCTTCCTGAAGATGTGAGCTCTGTCTTCATGTAACAATTGTGTGCGAGAGAAATTCTTCTATTCAAATTCTACAATTGTGTGTGAGGCAAAGAGAGAGAAAAACCTCCCCAGAAGAGAGCTTATTAAGAGCTTTGATTGCCTTTTTCCCCCTAACATATCTGGCATCTTAAAAAATTACATATTTATGCTATCATCTTCCTTGTTGAAAAATTTGGCCAAATACTTCTTTTCACCCTTCCGTGTTCTAATCTAGCACTGCCACTGTGATACCATAGTATTATCAAGTTGCTTTACCTCCTGGGCTGCCACAGCTTAACTGAAGCGCAGTGTTTGGATGATCCCTTGTGAACTTATGACTTGGTATCCAGAAGAGGCGGAGATCCACAGAAAGCAGTGTAAAGTAGGGCACCACCTCCTAATTGTTGTAGGATTCCTCAGTCTCTGCAGCCTTCACTCAGGTTTCAACTGAGCCAAGGGTCAGTCGGGGTGTCTGCCACGATGTCAGGATACTGGAACCACACAGTTATGACAGCCAGTGTTTGTCCCAGCAATCCTGAATGACCCTATCTCTATGCCTAGGTTTTCAGAAAAATGGCCCTTTGGAGAACCTCCAGCTGTTCCTGCTCCAACCTGGGCACAGCCCGGACTTAGATTTCCTACCAATCCATGGAGCATTGCATGGCATTCCCATCCCCAAGAGATGTAGGGAAGACTGACAGCTGAGTGAGAGCAGGGGCCTTCTGTGTATATCTGCTGGTATATCTGTAGTCACTCTTATGACAATGGCTGTAGAACACTATTACGATATTGGCTAGGAAAAGCACTGCTGGACGTGCTATTTGCTTGGCAGTATGGTTGTCTGACTTTGAACTAGAGGGTGGGCTGGGTCATGTAAACAGGTGAGTTAATTTCATGAAGGAATCTGTGCAATGGCATTGGAAACAACTTGGTTTTGCACTCATGGTTGCATGCATGGCCGACTACTGCTAATCCCCGGGTGACATTTTCATTCTGAATTTGTCCCCCACTTGTCTTGCTTAAGCTGCAAAATAAATGCATTTGATTGCACAGAATTTTCTGTGGCTCTTTGTTGTTACACATCCTAACTTTCACTTACTGAAAACATGCCATGTTTATAATGCCTCCTTAGCTTCTGGGACAGTGCTGACTCGATTATAGATATATGTAGGGTGACATTTTCAGAATCACTGGGGGTCCTGGATATATCATAGAAATACTAGTGATTGGAGCTGTGCATAGCATTTCATTTAGGAATTATTCCTCCCAAAAAGAAATCTCTTTGTTACAATATCTTTTAAGGACAGTGTTCTTTGAGACTCTACCATGATATAGTAGAACAAATGGTAGAATGTTTCTTGTCACTTAAGCTACTGTAACAATCTTTCAAATAGAGAAAGAATTAGTAGTGTTGCATCAACATCCAATATGAGTCTTATTCATAATTAACCAAATAGAAATGATGGGTTGTTATTATTAAGGTATATAAATGGCATCTTAAATAGAAGTAGATTTATTAGAGGACTGCAGGATATTTAACAGTCATGAAAATATCCATGAGTATGACAATCTTTATGAACTGAATGTTAAGAATTGTGAAGGGTCTAAGCTTGGCCCTTCTTGCAGTTTGCTTGCCACAGTCTTATGGATGCTGCCATGAACACATGATTCCTGGGTCAGATGCAAAGAGCTTCGTTCCAGCATCCCAGATGGCATGTTTCATATTTACATTGGTTCCTGGGCTTATTTAAAATTATGGTAAATTAGCACGAAGCTAGCAGCATAAAGCAGCACAAATTTATTCTTCTAAAGCTCTGGAATGCAGAAGGGCCAACCTCAATCTCAGGCTGAAATCAGTGTGTTGGCAGGACTATTTTTTCAGTCTGTCCAGCTTCTAGAGGTTGCTCATTCTCTGCCTCATGGCCCCACACCACTGAAATTTCTGCTCCTGTTCACATCACCCAAAAATCTCAGTCTATTACAGCATCATTTCTAATATATCATGTAAATCCCAACAACATAAATTAATATTGGTAAGATCTAGATTTGATCCATCCTGGGAAGGAATTGTTTTGAATGCCTGGACCTAAGCACAATGATGTAATGAGCATCAGATTCTAGTTGTAAACATGTGCATTTAAGGAAGAAAACAGAAGGAAAAAAAGTCACCAATTCCAAGAAATTTCAAACTGCAAATGGGGAAACTTTATTATGCAGCAAGGCTCAAAGTCTGCTGTGGCCTGTGACTTCAACCTCTGGACCAGAAGCTTTATCCTGGAGTCTTTTTCTTGAAGAGTAGGATGTGTAGCTGAGCAGTTCTGTCAGCTTCTTTACATAGAATTGTGTGAGCCTGGCAGCCTTCTCTGTCCACTCTTTGACCTTCTTGTTCAGGTTAGCAGTGTTTCTGCATGTAGGACACATTCACTATCACTGTGGGTCTCCTGCAGATATCCTGGGATTTCCATTCTTCATTTCTTTTTGTTAAAAATTTATTATTTACCTGAAAAACAGATCTACACAGATAGAAGGAGGGACAGAGAGAGACAAGTCTTTGATCTTTTGGTTCACTCCCCAAATGGCCATAATGGCCAGAGCTGGGCCAGTCCAAAGCTTGGATCTCCTTCTGGGTCTCCCACATGTGTGCAGAGGCCCAAAAGCTTTGGCCATCTTTTGCTGTTTTCCCAGGTGAATTAGCAGGGAGCTGGATTGGAAGTAGAACAGCTGGGACTTGAATTGGCACCCATATGGAATGCCAGTACCATAGCCTACTATGCTATGGTGCTGGCCCCACTTCATTTTTTTTTAAAGATGTACTTATTTGAAAGGCAGGGGGCTGGGGGGAGAGAGAGAGAGAGAGAGAGAGAATGAATCAGTCAGTCAGAGAAAGAGGGTATTTTCCATCTGTTGGTTCCTAAATGGCTGCAATAGCTGAAGCTGGATCAATCTGAAGCAAGGAACTGCTTGAGTCTCCCACTTGAGTAGCAGGTGCCCAAGCTCTAGAATCATCAGCTGGTACATCCTTGGCACATTAGCAGGGAGCCTGATCCAAAGCAGAGCAGCCGAGATTTGAACAAGCGCTCTAATGTGGAATGCTGGTGTTGTAAGCAGCAGGCAGCTTAACTTAGTGGGTCACAACACTGATCCTCCAGGAATTTGTTTCTTTAGGCCAGAGCCTTCTTCATCAATCAATCCTGAATAACTCTATCTCTATTCCTAGGTGCTTAGAAAAATGGAGTGACAAGTCACACTCCTAATCTCCTCAAATACCTGTGTGGCAGAATGCTTTTATGCTTCTCAAGACACTTAAAAAATGTGGTCTAATCACACCATTGGCTTTCTCTACAGCATACTTTCTTGATAATGGATATCCTAATTTTAGTTTCTTACAATGCAAATGAGCAGAATTTCTGAAATTGTTAGGTCTAGGTTCTTTCCACTTAACAGTTCTTCCCTCAGGTTATCTCTTTCCTCTTGCAGTTTACTCTAAGTTTCAGGAAGAAATCAGGCCTCATCTGTAACACTTCAGTCTCAGATATCTAAGGTTGTTGTGGGATGATAATTTTGCCCTCTCTATTGAGTGCAAAATACAATTCATCCAAGTTCTCAGTCACTGCAAGACAAGAATCCCCTTTTTTCCAGTTACCGAAAACATGCTCTTCATTTCCATCAGGCCCTCACCTACAGTGCTGCAAGTGTCTGTATCTCTCAACAGTTTGCTCTTTCATGATTCCTCCTTTCACATCCATTACTATAAGCCACAAATCTGTCTTCTGTAACTAGATATTGGATTATATTTTCAAGGTGTGGCAATAAATGGAACCATGCAGTATCTCCTGTGTTTTTCCTGGTTTCTCTTGTTCAGCATAAGTATTTTGAGATTCATTAATGATCAATAAGTTATTTTTTATTGTTTAATAGTATTTGATCATATAGCTGTATCATATTTGCTTATGCATAAATTTGTTAATTGATATTGGGTTATTCATACTTTTTATTACAAATGAAATTGATTTTTGTATTTATAATTTTTATATAGGCATATAAAAGTGTCTGGTTCATATGATAGGTAATTGGTTTTTTTTGAGAAAGTTCTAGTTAGTTTTCCAAAATGCTAACTATTTACATTTTCTCATTATATATATGAACCTTGTTTATTTCATTAGCAATACATTGTAACATCAGATTTTAAAATTTTATCCAGTCTAATGTACAAATGTAATGAAATCTCATGGTGATTTTCAAATGCATTTCTTTAGTGATTAATGGTAGTCAACTTTTATTACATTTATTTTCCTTTAACTATTGTAGGCAAAGTGTTTTCTAAGTCCTTGACCCAATGTATTATTGGAGTATTTGCTTTATTATTGAGTTTTGAGAGTTCTTTGTATTCTAGATATAAATCTATTCCTAGATTTATAATTTGCAATTAGTTTATCTATGACTTGTTTTATCATTTGCTTAATAGTATCTTTGAAAGAGAGAGTTCCTTATTTTGATAAATTGCAATGCATAACTTAGTTTTGAAATAATTGTGTTTTGGTGTCATACACAAAAAATAACCCTTGTCAAATCCAAGATTATGAAGGTATATACCTATGTTGTTTATTTTTTTCTAGAAGTTGTATCATTTCAGTAGCTTCCCAAGTCAGGTTTTTGATCCATCTTGAGCCTTTTAAAAACATTGTGAGTTCTGTATCAGTGTTCATTTTGTGCAGGGATAGCTTCTTGTTGCAGTTTAGTTCACTAAAAGGATCATTTCTCCATTTTTGCTTCTTCAGTGAAAATTAGGTATTTGTGTGTGTTAATTTTAGGACATGGTACTCCATTGAATTGTTCTATTTGCATATTTTATTCCAACTCTGTGTTTCTTATTGTAGCCTTACACTAAGTCCTTTAAAATTTTTATTTTAATACGGTTAACATAATTGAGAAGTACGCATAGTCATGTGGGTCTCCAGTTAGGGTGGAGAGGGTGGAGGTATGGAGGAAGGTGGGTCAGACAGATGTTTTAATTTTTTTCCTCTTGTGTCCACAGCAGGGAAAAGGGGAGGAGCCACTCCTTGTT